ATTTTGAACTTCAGGTAATTTTGAGTTGTTTTCCAAGTGGATGCTTAGTCTACTGCTTATAATTCCTTCTAAAATTTTGTCTAAACAGCTGATCAGGCTGATTCCTAGGTAGTTTTCTGGTTTATTCGCTGGTTTTCCTTCTTTAATGAACGTCAGAATATTTGCATGCTTTCAAGAGACTGGGGCACACCCTGATTTAAGGGATAGTTTGAAAAGCGCAATTAGGTGGTCAAAGAATACCCGAGTGCCTTTCAGGAGACGATGGCCTGTATACCATCGTCTCCTGGAGCTTTGTTGTTGTTGTTTTTTTGTTTAATGGCTGTTATAAGTTGTATTTTGGTGATATGGCTTATGACAAAGCATGTTTTAGAACCTTGGTCTTTTCTGTGTACTTAGATTATCGTGTATGTTGGTGTATCTGTAATAGTTTATTTTGTGTGACGTGTTGTTTATTAACTTTATTAAAATAATGATTGTTCATGCCGGGGTCGTTGTTTGTTATGAAAGATTTTGAAGGTGTTTTTTTTTGAAAACCTCAAAAAGTTTTATTTCACTTATGTACTAGGCCTCGGACAAAAACTTCGAAGAATAATGAATAAACTTAACATCGCCGTTGTCTTCTTAAGTCATTTCGTGCTACGCAGCAGTCTTACGAAAGTAATAATCTCCAGTTTCCAAACCTCTCACAAAGAACGTGATTATAGTGCTAGGCGTGAGTGTAATAAAGAGTACATTGGAGAGCCACAACGCCCATTACGAGTAATGTTCAGAGAACGACTTAGACATTGAAAACTGTGCTAAAAATATCCTGGCTATGGCATTTTACACTCACTAAAATGACCACATAAAGGCTTAGTAAATGCAAAACTAATATACACAGACGAGAACATCAAACGGAAATAAAAAAAAAAGCTATTGCCATCCAAACCCAAGATAGTGGCCCACTAGTGGGTATTAACTAAAACAATGTCCAACAACCACTCAGTACTGTATGGACACCACTTATCAAAGATCCAAACTCATCATTTGTTGTCGTTTTGACGTAAAATAAAAACTTTAATTTTTTTTTTTGTAGCTTTACTCATAACCAATGATTCTATGATATATAAATTTGTATTCTATAAATTGTATTTTCCTATACACTATTTATGATCGCGCTATTTTCTTTTCTTATGTTTATGATTTTCAATTAATTGTTCAATCTTAAACATTTTTCACTACATTGAGTGTATTATAAGATATTTACATTATTATACAGCTACAAAAACTGAGGCTTGATTATTCAATTTATACAAAAGTTTAAATCTTTGTATGTTAATTCTGTACTTAGCATAATTCATTCTTAGCATTTTTTTTTACATATGCTAACAATTTTAATACCTGGTTATTTCTTTCTTAAGTTATTTTCTTCACCAAAATTCACGTCACCGAACATGCTCCTCTTTGCCGTGGGGGTGTTATAATCTGACGGCAATCACACTATTCGTTGGTAAAAGAGTAGCCCAAGAATTGGCGGTGAGTGATGTTGACTAACTGCCTTCTCTCTAGTCTAGGGAAGGCAGGCGCAGATAGCCCTCGGGTAGCTTTACGCGAAATTGAACAAAACAAACAGACAAACAAACGGTACTTCCACTGCAACAGACTAATTTAGTCGAATTCAGGCCTTGGAAAAGCGAAGTAACTAAAAACTAGGCCTCATATAGTAGTGGAATGTGAGCAATTTGTTTGATTCAGATGTATAGGACTATTAGTCTAAACCAAACAACTTTAGTACCTTTTGCTGCTTTTCAGAAATCGTAGTGCATTCTGGAGGGATTTAGACATTATGACAATAAAGTTAGAAAAATGACCCTTTACTCTCTAGAAAATAATACAAAATACTGTTATGTATGTACACCTTACAACAACACCCATTAGATCAGATTATAAACTAACCTCATCTTATAGAACAATATTTAATCTGTTATATATTTACACATTACTACAACGCCTATTAAACCAGACTGTTACCTAACTTTATAGAACAAAGTATAAACTGTTATGCTTGTTCACGCTATTACAACACACATTAGACCAGACTATCACCTAACCTAATTTTTATGCATGTTTACGCTACCACAACACCCATTAGACCAGACTGTTACCTAACTCTATAAAACAAAGTTTAAATTGTTATGCATGTACAGACTACCACAACATACATTAGACCAGACTGTTACTTATGAAGTTTTTTTTAGTTAAAAACTTTTCTTAAGGAATGGGAATTAAATGATCATCTGGTTAATAAAACGTTGTGATTCGCACACACCACATTTTGCTCATCTTACAGTTCCACGTGAAATTAGCTAACGATTTTCTATTTATAATGTGCTTAGTGTAGTTCTGATCTTGCTGTTTTGTAAAGTGAACTAATTCATAGCCTATTCTTATTATCTATTAAATAATTGATTCCAATGCGAAATAATCGTTAGAGTATAAAAGCAATGTATAGTTTACAGAGATGTGAACATTTACGACACAATTTGACTGCACAAAATAGCTAACGAAAGAAATTGGATGACTTTATTAGGACAGTGAAGTTGAAAACATCACGAACTACACACACTATTTATCACGGTATCAGTAAAAATTTTGTTGCTTCGGCTTGTCGATGTACTAAAATTTATGAAACTTCTAGGACATCTTTAAGTGTTTATCAACCTGATTAGTTTATTTTTGTATGTTTCTGAATAATTTTCAGATTAATTAAAAACACATTTTAGTAGGTTCACTTGATACATCTTCACCAAGCTTGTTGCTGTAACTTGATTTAAAAGTTTAGCATTTTCTGTTAGTGTTTTGGTTGAGATTCAATGTTGACAATACTTTAGCAGCTCAAATATGACCTAAAGTAGCAAAGAACGTTGTCTTGAATTTTATATTACCTACGTTTACTTCTGTTTTAACCAACCACAAAAAAGTGTCTTTTTGTAGGGTTAATGGTAATTATTTGCTACAGTATGCAACTCACGTTATTTATTTTATTTCTTGCTACACTTTTCACGAGACATATACATGCTAAAAGTTTATTATACATCCCAGTTCGCGTGCAACAGTAAGACGTGCTTGGACAAAAAGAAGAAAAGAAATAAAACGTGGATTTTGTTGTGAAATTTGTTTCTAAGTATGGTAAGAGCGTAGGATATTTGGTTTGAAAAAATATATCCAAACTTTATAAATTGTAAGTAATATACGTTTTTGCAAATGTTTCGAATTTATTTTTGCTTATTGCATTAAATCCAACCCTCATTTGCAAAATAGGGATCCGATCCGATACCAGCGCTGATAATTACGAATTTGTTGTAAAGCTTGTGCTGCCCCTAGTGATTCAGCTGTAGATTCTAGAGCTTATAACGCTAAAAACTGAGTTTTGATACCCCCGGTGGGCAGAACACAGATAGTCTATTACTTAGCTATATGCTTAACATCAAACAAACAAACAAATCGAGCTTGTGCTACTGTAAATATTAGACTTTTGGTATCTAAGTTTGATTATATTTCAGTCGTAAAAGAGAAAAACCCAGGTTCCATTTGAGCCCCATATTTTGTAGATGGTGGTTAATTCCCTATTGTTATTTTTAATTAATTATCAATTAATTTAGGAATAAAGCTTATCAGTATTAAATGTTGCGTAACTTATTTATTAGCGTATAATTTATTATTCTGTTATTAAAATATGCACCCTGTGAAAATAGTTTAAAAACAAAAGGTGCTTATTTATATATGTGCATTTAGTAACGTAGTGAACCACACACTATCAAAAGAAGTATTTCAATCAATGTTATTGATTTTCAGAAATATGATGTGTGGAGAAATCGAAGTAAATGTTTTGTGTTCGGAAATTAAGTTAATTTGGAGGAGTTTATTAGAGATACAATCCTGTTAAGGTTTCTAAGTTCTTGCAATAAAATTAATAACAATTTATACAGGGAAAAGCATCTCGCAAAATGCTCGACTAGCAACTACAAAGCTCAGTGTAAAAGAGGTTCGAGGTTCCTATCTCTGAAACGCAAGCAAACAATTTTGTGGCTACCGTAGTATAATATTGTGGAAACTGGCGTAATAGGTATAGTTTCGATATACATAATGGTAACAATCAGCAATGGAGTGATATTTTTTTATCTGGAACATTCTCGCGCAAGTTTTGGAATATCTGTATAGAATACTATTTGGAAAATTATCCATAAAACAAGTATGAGTTATACGTGATTTAAATCAGATGTTTTGTTTGTTTGTTTTTGTTCATTCTGTATATAATAAGAGTTTCTGTTTTGATTCAAATTCGCAAGTAACCTGAAGCATTAATAGTTCTGGTGTGACTTTAAGACTGGTTAATGTTGCCTCTTGAAATGTGTAGGAGTTCACAGAGCTGGTTTTCACAAGTTTCATAAAGACATTAGATAGCCATGGCACCCGCTGAGTGCAAAATATTCAGTAAGTTTATTATAATTCATTACAAAAAAGTATATAGTTTTTTATTTACTATTCAGATCGTTAAGAATGTGTACATCGTTTTTCTTGAAGTACTTTTAATGCTAAGTTTTGTTGACGAATGTCAGATGTTCCTAACTAAACAGCGCTGTTATTAGATTTTCGTACCTAAAGATTAACTTTCAACTTTCTAGCTCAAACATTCACTGACTATTGAAAGTATATATATATATATATATATATTACTTTTTCTATTACTCTATATGAAGTTAACATGGATTTCAACCTGCTTGTTATATGCGTTTCTAAGAGAAAATAAATAATATTTTAATGCCGAGAACGTCTAGCAAAAAACGATTAATCAATTTTGCAAACACCTTTGTGGTCTCGAGCTCAGTGAAAAATTATTGATATAAGTTTAACATATCTGGTATTAAAATAGGCTCAATCACTATGTAAACAGTACAAAAAGCATGATGCACTTTTTTCTGTAGTAAAAAGATCTGAAGTAAAGTTTTGATTTGCTCTAGATGTAGAAGACATCCGGCAGGCTAACGAACACTTTCTCCACATCAGGCAGAAAGCACTTTGCCTAACACCTCGCCCCCTCGTGGTGGATACTAAGGACTACTATCCGGACCCCACTAAGAAGTACCTTCCAAGGTGTACTATTCTACACAGGTGTACGGAAGACAGTGGGTGCTGTGGTGATGATCGAATGAAGTGTGGCCCGAGAAAAGTCCAAGAAGTTACCCTATATTTTTATGCAAGTACACATTCACAAATGTTGATATAAAGAACAGTTATTTTCGTTAAGTTAACATTGTTACTAACACACACTTGTTAAAAATAACAAAAGCCTTATAAGGGAGTTCTCCACTTGCTTGTACGTTATTTTGAGTATTTCAGAGTGAATGGGTAAGATATACTCATATATAAGCAGTTCAAGACTACCCTACCTTAATATCAACAAAAAGCAGTGTTACAGTGTCTAGAAGTGTTCTTAGTATATTGTTCCGACAAAACTACTTGGGTGAGTAATCTGGTTGAATGATACGGTTTGTTTGGCGTAATTTTATCTTTACTTCCCTCTTGATATGATCGCATTCCAACTTCAAGCCTTTTCAAGCTACTTAATAATGACACACTTCAACAATAACTACGTTTTATCTTCAAGTAAGTCAAGCATAGCTATGAATGTGACTTTTCAGTTAAGCAACTAGTTAATACTAAATGTAATCAAGGAACATAAAGATCAAGTTAGACTACATAAAGATCAAGCTAGACTAAATAAAGATCAAGCTAGACTACATAAAGATCAAACTAGACTATATAAAGATCAGGCTAGACTAAATAAAGATCAAGCTAGACTACATAAAGATCAAGCTAGACTACATAAATATCAAGCTAGACTAAATAACGATGAAGCTAGACTACATAAGGATCAACTTAGACTACATAAAGATCAAGTTAGACTACATAAAGATCAAGCTAGACTACATAAAGATCAAGCTAGACTAAATAAAGATCAAGCTAGACTACATAAATATCAAGGTAGACTACATAATAATCAAGCTAAACTACATAAAGGTCAAGCTAGACTAAATAAAGATCAAGCTAGACTATATAAAGATCAACTTAGACTACATAAAGATCAAGTTAGACTACATAAAGATCAAGCTAGACTACATACAGATCAAGCTAGACTACATAAAGATCAACTTAGACTACATGAAGATCAAGTTAGACTACATAAAGATCAAGCTAGACTAAATAACGATGAAGCTAGACTACATAAAGATCAACTTAGACTACATAAAGATCAAGCTAGACTACATAAAGATCAAGCTAGACTACATAAATATCAAGCTAGACTAAATAACGATGAAGCTAGACTACATAAAGATCAACTTAGACTACATAAAGATCAAGTTAGACTACATAAAGATCAAGCTAGACTACATAAAGATCAAGCTAGACTACATAAAGATCAAGCTAGACTACATTTTGTGATTGTCTTCAGTATATAGTATATTGGAATGCTTGGTTAATCAAGTAGGTAGATCAATAAAGGATGGGCCCGTTAAAAATATTCACCATTCCGTACTCAGAAGATTGTAAACACTTGTACATATTATCCTCGTATTTATTTTTATAATACCAACTGAATAATTTTCGGCTGTTTACCAGTTCCATAAATATTCAAGTAAGAACCACAACTTTTATAAAAATAAATATAAACCAAATCCATGATACTTTTAATTGTTGGATGCAGGTCGTAAGTCCTTCCTTCAATGAAATCTTAGGTTAACATAAATTGTCATATAAAACTATATTTCAGGAAAATCTACAAAAGTTGTCCACAGAAAACTAAGTGAAAAAATATTTTTCGGTTATTATATTCTCTACACCTCTAACACTGTTTTCTACAAGGTGCCCGTCCTTAAATAAAATGCATTATAATTATTTAAATGATATCTCTAGGTTTGAAACTATCAAATGAGGCGCTGCCAAAAAAATGATACTTCATCTTGGCTATTCTTGAGTTAATAACTTACTGCGGTGCAACTTATTCATAGAAAACAACACTAAACATCATTTTAGACTTTGGCTGATCTGAACATAATATGTTGAATTGTTTACTAAAAATGACCTGCATAGCTCCTCAAGGAATGTTTTATAAGTTATAGTAAACTTCCATTATCTGTTAGTGTGTGTGCGTGCTTTCTTATAGCAAAGCCACATAAGGCTATCTGCTGTGTCCATCGAGGAGAATCGAATCCCTGATTTTAACCTTGTAAATTCGTAGACTTACCCCTGTCCCAGCGGGAGACTATCTGTTTAGCATACTTAATTTATTCTCCGTGTCATCCTATTTGGTGGAGTAATGGATCCAGTTAAAATTGGGGACAGAGAAAAGCGTATCCTTGTTAATGCCATATAATGCTTTGTAAACAAAAATGAAGAAGAAACATAAGTGTTTTAACCTTTTAGTTTTAGGCTTCCGATAATTTTACATATTTTAAACATAACAGTAGGTTTACTGAATAGGCATAATAAGGATATAATATGTGTACGTTCCATGTATACTTACAGACTCTTCGCGTCGGAAAGCAAGGCACATATGTAGAATTAGACAAAGCTGTGGACAAACTGCTGTTTATAAACCACACGGAATGTGAATGTCAATATATCAATAAGCAGACCTATTTACAAGACGATCCAGAATCAGATGCAATTTTGAATCAGAATCTCGAAACAACCACTGATCCTCAACACTATTCAGTATTAGATAATCCTTTACGCCATCCACCAAACCAAGTGGATTCCAAGTAAGCTACAATTTGAACGTGCAATGAGTTGTACAATGTGTACCTACAACATTTGTCTGTAAATAAAAGAGGTGTTTTGTTGCTGTTCGTTTTACCGTAACCAGCAACCATCTTTATTAATAATATACAAATACACAGTTACAAGTTTAACTTTGTTTATTTTTCATCTTCATTGTTGGCACTTATGGTGTAATAAGAAAATATTTTATATTCTGTTTCTAATATCGTTTCAGCCTTTTTCACAGATAATTTGTACTATATTCTGTTTGTAATATCGTTTCAGCCTTCTTCACAGATAATTTGTACTATATTATGTTTGTAATATCGTTTCAGCCTTTTTCACGCATAATTTGTACTCTAGTTTATTTAATTATGTTTGTTTGTTTCTGATTTTAGCGCAAAGCTACACATAGGCTATTTGCGCTCTGTCCTCTGCAATGAATTGAACACCGGATTGTAGCTTTGTAAATCAGTAAACTTACCGCTGACTACTGGTGGCTGTATTTAATTTGATTAGTCACAATTGTAAAAATAACATTTCAGTTCTATCTTTGTTTTCGATAAGTCACTGCATTTCATTTAATACCACAACTGTTTAGCTGGGCTGGTCGATAAGAGACGACAATGTATCTGAAACAGTCATAAGACATTATTTTAGGTCAAACATGCTTTATCCATTGCCGACGACGCGATTCATGCAATCTAGGGCTCTTCAGGCCGGCTGGGACACAACGAATATAGTAGTGGTCATAAGACTATTTATATGTCATTTGTTACAATAACAATTATTATGGTGTGTACGCCTTTTACAAGCTGGCGAAGCATGATTATAATTAATTATCCTTTTCATTATGTCAGGCCTATTATAATCTTGTCCTTTAGGGGTTTTCAAGAACTAGAAGTGTGTAAATGAATAGTGTTTCAATCACACTATATTCGTCATATCCATCGCTGACGACGCGCTTTGTTCAATCTATAGCTCTTCAAGAGTAAAATAATTTCAAGGGTACAGTTTATTGTTTGTTTATTTCAAAGTAACACCACATTGGTCTATCTGCTTCGTTCACGGCGGGGAATCGAATCCCGGATTATAGCGTTGTAAATCCGCAGATTTACGGTGTCCCACTGGATGAGGTTACAATTTAAACGCCGAAAACGGGTTAAGCTTTGGAAATGTAGCTTACAGATTATTTTCAGGTTGCTCTTAAGTTATCTATTTCGGAATTCAAATTAGCTTGCGCAAAAGTGACATTGTTTACTCTATTTGCTTTTATCATAAATGTTAGCCCTATTGGTTTCCAGTGCTTCGCTAGCTTTTTACTTTTGTCATCTTTCAAATTGTTTTTTTTTCATACATAAAAAGTGTTTCAGGTAAATTTTGTTTGCCATCATCCTTGAATGAAAGAGTTCCTAGGCAGTGACTTGTGGGAAACAAAAAATAAATCTGAAATACAATTGTACGCACTTCTGATTTGAAATCTAAAGTAGAAAAACTGAAAGAAGTGTAAAAATACATCCATAGTTTACGTGATTTTTATTGCACATGTTAGGCCTGTTGGTGTTTTTAATGCTTCGCTAACTTTCGGCGTTTAAGCCAAAACTTTGAAATAATATCTAGAGATTTTAATAGAAAGTGCTTTATAAGAAACAGTAACTCAACCAACGAGCACCTAAATTAGAGCTGCACTTTTATGCCAGCTTTGATTCCATTTATTTAATACATCATGCATGACATCTGGCGTGTAAGTGTGCTGGATAAGAATTAGGAATTGCACAATCGAACAATAATTACAAATGCAAATATTTATTGATAATATATCAATATTATTTATCATTGTAAATATTTCGACAATTTTCTCACGCCCTCTTCCGTTTAGTTGTTGTAATTATCGATTGAATATATCTTTATTTAAGTAAATTTAATATTTAGGGCTCTAAGAATATAAAGATAGTACGCGCATGTTATAGTGACTTTTACCGAACAAAATAATTTTTTTCTTCTTCCAGGTCAATAGTAGGAAAATATACAAGCGTTATGCTATTAAAAATATATGTCTAAGACACTGTACAAAATATTCAGGTAGGTTTGACCATGAATATTATGGGATAGACAAATCTATGGGTAATAAATGATAATTTATTTGTTCGTATCTCATAAACCGAAAGAAAAGCGTGTATATTACCAATAAATGGCAGAATGAAAAAAAAGTCCATACTTAGGATGGAAAACCTCTTCAAAAATAGTTAAATGCAGTATTTAAATTCCATTTGATCTTACAGCTGCATATCATCGGTTAAAAATGACCTGAATACCCCCGAAACCTGAGCTATGACTGCAGATTGCCAACCTGATTGGTAACGCGATTTTATGTTTGGCTCTGGAAAGCACGTTCCGACACATGCTTGGTTTATTGCATGTGGTGTTGAGTTTTGTTTATCACATGTAACCGTATGAGAGGTTTTTTAAAAGTTTTATTTTATCAGCATATTTCTATGCTTCATCACAAGGATCAAATTCCATTATGTTAAACATAAAGAAAAAAATATTCTATGAAAACATTTTTGATGAAGTGTTTTCGTAATGCGGTTTAAACTAAAACGTTCTGATAATCTGCTTGACCCTCATTAAAACGTTACCAACAAGCAACTCTCTCACGAGACTGGTAAAACGACTCCTATCAACTCTTTTACTTGATCACATTTTGGGTGGGATATGGTTCAAACGAACTAGCGATTAGGGCAAAACGAGCCAGCGAGCTGCAAGGCATTTTATGTTGCTGTTAATATTATTCGCGATATGTGAAGATGTCTCTACATAGCTTTTAAAGCGATGGAGGACGGATGTATTTTTGAATTAGCACATCTATTGTAGAGCACTAATCAAGTAAAGACAGTCTCAGAAAGCCAAAACAATTAAAGAAGGTCTCTTCATCCCAGTACGTTAGTATTTACGTACATAATGTCTGTACTTTATCAAAATTAGTTTATCTGCAGTTTATCAATGCAATTAGCCTGAAAGAAGTAGAAATGACAAGCTGTAACAGGATATTTTGTGTGAAACTACTTATACTTTTTATAAGTAAAGTAAAGCATAACAAGAGCTTATTATGAGTTTAACTGTCTAACAATTAGTAAATCACAAAATATTTCACATTTGCTTTGGAATATGACTTAAATATAAACTAAATATAAGGACTTTTTATATAACAAACTCAGTTATCACTTTAGCTAACTACAATAGAAATTGTTCTTTTATAGATTTCTTGTGTTTTTAAAGCGAGTTACTTGCCATAATTTGAGACTGAGGCTCAAGATAATCTCAGAAACAATCGATTTCTTGCCAGCCTTTGTATTAGGTCCTCAAGAAATTAATGTCATTTGTCAAAACAAAACATTTATTAAATGAAATAGTCTACATTCTTTCTGATGATGCTTTTCCATCTCACAATCAGGTTGTTAATGCTCT